TCTTTCCCTGTGCATTTTATTGTTGGCTGATACCTCGCAGCAAACAACTTTTGAGAAGCTGGCTTACAACAGATGTAGTTAATATTTGGGAAGAGAGTTTGATGCAGGCAGTGCATCACAGGGCGTAGCTCCAATGCTGTGAGGGCCCGTTCCTCTACAGGTTTGCACTGTGGAGGGGATTAGAGACGTGTCCTGCCGGTTCCTTCTTTTAGTCCCTTGAGTAGAATGGCATCGCGATGGGCTGGAAGACAGAGGTGCTGGTTTGAGGGCACCTTGTCAAAAAAGCAGTCCTAAAGGTTCCTGAGGATCGCCTGAAAAGATCTGGTCTCTCATCCATTGTATCCTCAGACACACAAAATACAAATGGGCAGAAAATTCACAAGAAACAGTCCCTGTGGAATACTGGATGTTTTTTAAGACCAATGAATTAGGAATTTGTCTGCCTGCTGAGTATTTTCTGTGTGCAATGGGAATGATGTTTTGTTGCTGTTTAAACTCTTAGAAGGAACGTAGCTGCCTTGCTTTTTGATTGGGGTGGGACTAACTCTCTGTTTGTCTCACAGCGCTCCTGATCTCGACAACACTGAAAGTGCTGCCAAGGAATTAGAGGTAGGAGATGAAGCGGTTCCACGGGCCCCTAGCTGAATGTTCAGCTGAGCAAATCTTTTGTTCGTTATGGGACTGAGGACACTTTGTCAAATGCAGCATTTCAAGTGAGAGGAACGGGGAACTTCTCTGGAGAGGACGAGGGTGAAACAAATGATGTCAATGAAACCTGTCATCAAGAGGCAGCATTAGCATAGCAGAGTAGTGCATTTATTTTATGGACGAATGAAAACTCCTATATGTCGAGCTAGTTGCACTCCGTTCCTTTCTGATTCCTGTTCAGGTTCATTCTGCAGCAGCACTTTCCCATGGTTTCACTCTCAGCCCCAGACCTGACCAGTGCTTTTAACTTCTCAGGCTTGACTAGCTGTCAAAGCCTCCTGTTTTTTCCGGAGCTGTGGCAGTACTGGTGAGCTCGCTTGGCAGAGGCTAATCTAATGCTAAATTGCACGTGCTTTCCTCGTAGCTGTGGAGCTAGTGGAACCAGGGGACGTGCTTTTAATACTTTGTGACCAAGCTTGGTCGCAAGCGATGAGCTCTGTTGTTGTCCTCTGCTTCCTGAGACAGAAGGAAGCCCCTGCCATTCCCAAGGAAAGGAGACAAATACACTGCCTGCTTAGAAATGCTCCTATGACTTAATTTTAAAAGATGTTCTGAGTACCGGAATGGCATTATAAATATTATTGAAGAAAATGTGCTGATTTTAATTGATGTGGGAAATGATTGTTTAATTCTTTTTTCTGTTTCACTTTTGAAAATACTGAAAGGTATTGCTAGAAAAAGTTTCCTGTTTGTAAAGCGGGAGTTTGTTGGGGCTGAATGACAATTGCTTTGTCACTGGATTGGGTCAATATTCCGAAAAAGAGGAATATTTTTGGAGCCGGTCAATGCTACATGTGTTTTGCAGGCAGAAAGGAGACTTGTTAAATTGAAAACTTCTTAAATTTAAAAGCACACCTCCACTCTCCGTAGGAGTGCTTCTGTATTAATTCAAGCTTAAGATATTCATTCACTTCAATTTCTCTGAGTCAGTTAGTGCAGCGCACTCTAAGGTGATGGGAGGGAGCGGAGCGAAGAAGGGGAGGAGGAAAAGCAAAAGATCTAGAGCCTGCTTGTCCATGATTCATGCAAAGTGTAAAGTAATTTAAAATTTTTCCCAAGCCTTGAAACTGTACTTCACAGTGGAGTTGTGGCTATCTCGTTAATATTCTTCCTTCATTTCTTTTTTTGGCCTCTCCAGGAAGCGATTCGAGTGATTCTTGGAAATCTTGATGATTTACATCCATTTTCTACAGACCACTTCACTATTTTTCCGTGTATCCTTTCTTTCCTAATCGTAAAAGAGAAGATGCAAGGACCTGTATCTGTTGGGCATTGCTGAATTCGACCTTCATGTCTCGTTGTGTGCAGATCTTTAGCTGGAGTCCGACTCCTTTGAGCTTTGGGGTTTTACGTTAGCTGAAGATCCTCCGAGACTGCTGTCTAGCGTCATCCATTCTTGCGTGCATGAGCTCCGAGGTGTCAGAACTGCACCCACAGGGAGGAACGCCTGTAACCGTGGCGGTTGTCATGTCACTTATCTTTGTTCCTCCCATTTTGAACTGTGAAGTAAATGTAATGGTGCTACTCCTATGAATCCTAGTCCTTTTCAGTTTTTAAAAGAATTTTTAAAAGAATTCCTTTTTAGTTAGGAAAGCTGATGAGGTTTTATGCGTAGGGTTGGGAGAGCCCGGCCTGTTGTTTCTTGTGGAAGAATGTCAGGACTGAAGCCAAATACAGTTAAGGAAACACAATGCTCTGAATACAAGTGCCTGACGGGAGAGTATCAGCTGGATGAGTGTCTCTTGTAATGTGTTACTGGTGTTTTTTCACAAAGTTCATACCGACAGATTGTATTTGCTCCCTTCTACACATGTGCAGCGTGGTAGGACTTTTGAAGCTTTACAGGAAGACATGTGAGGGCTCCTGCTCCTTTGAAATGTTAGTGCTATGTTCTTAAGTCTTATCGTCGTTCTCAGATTTGAGTAAATGGGAGAGAGTATCGAAGATGAGATTCAAACATGAGGATGTCCATCTTGTGCCTTATCCCTACATTTGCACTATGTATCTGGAACTGAACTCATTTCAGCAGACCGTATCTCGTGGTAAGTCTGTGTGGTTATGTTTGGAGACTTTCTGGAAACATCTGTGATCTATGTCTTGCTTTTCCCTTTCCCTTCCTCTGCTGTGTCTTTGAATGAGAGGGAGCAGGCCCGCGTGCAGTATGGCTGTACCATGAATGAGAAATTGAGCAGAAGAGTGTGTTCTCTTTTGTCCTGTATTGCTTTTCTAAAATGTCCTGAATCTCTCTTTGCCTTTTCAACCACTGCTGACTCTTTGGCTAATGTTGTCACCTCCCTAGTGTCTCCTTTTCCAGGTTTTCTGTGAATTCCCTGAACAGCCTCAGGCCCCAGCTGAGACCTCTGTGGGACTCTGCATTTAACCTCCTCTGTTGTGAAAACGGAGTGATTATTCTTACTATTTCCTGTTCTGATTCTTGGTCCCTGGGAAAAACTGCTGGGTATTGTTACGACTGCTTAATAGATATTCTGGTCTCCTTTATAAAATGGACCAGTGGTCATTTCTTAGTCTTGCCCATTTGCTTGCATGTAGCATCCCCTATCAAATATACCATGCTTGGATGTCAAAACTTCTAAACGTGGAGAAGTAACTCGCTTCCCTGTACGCCTTGTTCCAGTATTTAATTGCCCTCCCCAGGCAGTTGTGCAGCGTTTCTATTCTAAAATGATGCACAGCATAACGTGCTGTTACTTTCAGGCAGTGATGTTTCAAGTTTCTGTTGGCAGGGATTTTTCTGCAGGAAAATAGGTATGGATCCCATGCACCCGAGGTTAGCTGGCCAAGATTGTCTGGAGGCTATGCTCCGGATGTCCTTGCATCTTCCACGTGGTGCCCAAAACACAGAGTGATGCCAACAGTTGTTCAGTTCCTTCTTCTCTTCTGAAGACTCCTTTGACTTCTTCAAGAAAAGCAGTTGTCCCCGTCCCATTGACATGTGGCATTCATAGCCAGGAATTCTAGTTGTGAAAGAGCTGTATTGGCAGTTTTTCAATTTCAACATAACAGAGACAAGTCCAGCATGGCTTCTAGGTAGTTCCTCTTGTTCTTGGAAAGTGAGGTGCAATGCAAAAATGTACTTGTAAGTTGGTTAAAGACAGTCCAGTCACCAAATATTCACCAAATTTTATATGACCTCTGTTACAGGTAAAGAAGGAAACCAGGGCAGTGGTGAGCTTGTAAGTTGTGTGTGTGTGTTTGTTTTGGTTTGTTTTTTAATGTTCTATTCTAAATAGTCTGGAGAAGCAGAATATATATATATAGGCAATGCTATAGTTCTCCTGTTTCTAGGTGTCAGTCAGGCAATGTAAGGTGGCACTGAATTCTCCCCTAGAACCATGCAAGTTGAGAGAAATCTTGCTGTCGGTTCCACTGGACTTGGAGTGAAGTCCTGCCTCAGGACCCGAGAGCCCCGCTGGCCTCGGTTAAATGTGTTTACTACAAGTGTGAGCGGAGCTGTGCAACGGTTTCTTCACTGTGAGAGCCTGTATGAGGTCATGATTGCTGAATAATTAAGTCGTTTCCTCGGTGCTGTCTGTGTCATAAACAACAAAGTTAAGCTTCTTTGGAAAATTTTTGTTTTCATGAGAGCTCAGGGTAGGTTTGTTTTCAGTATGGGCAAGTGTCTGAAGAAGGAGTGAATGAGTGAAGATGTCGTGTCCAGATTCCCCCAAAGGAAATCCCACTCCCTCTGCTGGCCTTACATTCCT